AGTTTTAAATGTTGGGAAAATGTTTCTCCTCTGCCTTCCTTTTTGCCAAAGAGAGGATAGACAAAAGCCACAATAAAAAACACATGACACTATTATAGTCCATTTTCCACCAGGCAAACTACCTTAGAATGGGCAAAATCCATGTGCACAAACATGCTCCCCCAGAGGAGAAACGTTCTTCAGTTTGCAGATCTGGCAGCAAAGAAACAGTAAAGTGGGAGAAAGCAGGGCTTCCTGGAGGCCTGTATTGTGGAGATGCCCTCCCCATGGTAAATCAGCCTAGAACGAATGCTCATTACTTATATTTCTGCTCCCCACGGCGACACCAAAGCCAGGTGACATATGAGCCCTTCTGAAGACACGGAAGGATGGAAGGAACCAGAAAGAGGAGCCCACAATGACCTCAACGACTACAGGGCCCACATGCTTTAACTTGGCCAGACCCACCCCGTGTCAATTTTTAAAAGGCCAATTCTTGGAAAATTAGAGAATTAAAAAAAATTAAGAACTATTTCACATGGAGGCAGTTCCTATTTATATTCAGTACAAACCAATTTAAAATTTATATTGGTTCTTCCATCCACTCCCGAGTGCTCTCAGAGAGCCGACTGCCAGAGCCCATTAGCACACAGTCCTCACAAATGGAGACGTGCGCCCGCAGGCTGGTTCACCCAGAGCCAGACCAGCGTTTGCACTCACTCAAAATCACTTGGCGATTGACAAGCTTCTCTGCACTGGGAACTGTGGTCACTTCCCCTCAGAATAGGAGAGCGAACAACCCGAAGGGATCACGATATAAAGAAAGATCATGCTTTGATGTTCGGTGGGATATGCAAATAAGAATGAGAATAGCTGGCTTCAGGGCTGTCAGAGCGCTGTGTTTTATTTGAGAAATGAGACAAAATCTTCCTATGATCAGCCACTCCATGTGACATCCCAACCCACACTCTGCTACTGACATTTTACCTCCCACTGAACAGCCCGGCTGTTGTAACATTTTCAGGATTCTTAATTTATGTCTTGCAGGATCTAAAATCAGATGGCAGGAACTTTAGGAAAATAACCAATGTTGACAGGCACCTTTATACTTCAAGAAGCTGGTACACCTCAATGCTGCTAAAAGTTGGGGAATGTTCTCTACTTTCTTTTCCCAATATATGTCCAGAAGACAGTAGAATGGAAGTGAAGAGCTGTCCTAAATCACTTAATTTCTCTTTTCAATCTAAACTCTGTGAAAGCCCTTTCCTTCCACCTAATATCTGTTAGCAAGCTTACAACCCTTTCTCAGTACGAGTGATTCCAGCATTTAAAAAATTAATTAATTAAAAATGTTAATTAATTAATTGATGAATTTAAATTAGAGTAATCAAGAAAAGACCTCTACATATCATCAAGAGCTATGGAAAAGTAAAATGACTAAAAGGTAAGATCAGCAAGTTAACATTTGTGTAAGCTTTATAACTTACTGAACTGGATTCTCAGAACACTAGTGAGGGAAAATATGATGATGATGATGACTCCTACTTTACAGAAGAGGCAAGTGAAGCTCAGAAAATGGAAATGACGAGTTGCAAATTGCTCAGCCTTGAAGAAACTGCAACTCAAACCCAAACTGCATTTTCTTTCCATTATACAGCAATGTTGCTTTGTAAAACAGCGACTTTGGATGGGCTGATCATATGAATATGCCTGAAACCTTTGCTCTTCAGAGTACTGGCAGTGCTGAGCATCTGGGGCTCTTGGACTTATACCTGGCAAAGTCAGGACGCTGGTGTAGACCCTAGTTCTGGGACACTTAGCCTTCATCCTCCTCAGAATGGATTTATGTCTATTTCTCTATATTGTAGTGCTTAAGAGTACAGACTTTGAACCAGATGACTAGCTCTGCTACTGACCTGGTCAAGTGACTTTTCTGCGCCTTTTCCAGTACTATAAGATGAAGCCAATAATAGCATTTACCCCATAGGATTGTTGTAAAGATGAAATGAGTTTATTTGTGGGAAATGCTATGTAAAGTTTAGTTAATATCATCTATCAGTTTTCCACATGCTTTCATAAGTGCATCATAACATGCTTGTGAAAACCTGTAGTTTGATGATAAAGCTAAGAAAAGTCGTGCTTCGCGGCGCCTGGGTGGCTCAGTTGTTAAGCGTCTGCCTTCGGCTCAGGTCATGATCCCAGGGTCCTGGGATCGAGCCCCACATCGGGCTCCCTGCTC